CAATGTTTGTCCGAATATCGATCCCAAAGTGCCTTACGTTTCTGGAAAAAATTCTATTTTTAGACCCATAACGGTACGCTATTGCACCACAGGCCATCAATATAGGATCAGTCTCGTGTTTGCAAAGTAAAAAAAAAAATTAATTAGCAATTACAAAGATCTTTTTAAAAAAGTAAAAAAAGTTGTCAAAATTAAAAAAAAAAACTCTCCTGTTAAAAATGGCACCTATTTACAAAAATATATCCTTCAAGAACTAGGCAAAAAGTTAAAGTTGATTCTTTATTGTCAGACGAGGTGGAACAGTCTGCTTGATATGTCAGAACAGTTTCATAAAATTAAGTTATGTATCAGAAAAGCTCTACTGACCCTGCATGAGAAATGCGTTTCACAAATGTAAAATAGTCTCAAATTAATGATTTAATTCTTTGAATGGTACAAATGGTAAAAATTAAACTTGGTTTTGAAGTATTATGCAGAAAAGAATCGAATTTCGTTACTGCAAAAATATTTTTATTTATGTAAGATAAATTAGCTAAACAATAATTTTGAGCATTGATTTAGCTGATGCACTGCGAAAGAAATTTACTCAAATACTTAACTGTGCTTCTAATTTACTTACGAAATTCTGAAAAACACCAACAAGAAGTTAAAAAACACATATATATACTTTCAATCCCAAAGAAAACCGTTATGCGTTAAGAAATATAAAAAATTGATGACAAGAGTTTATACAACTAAAGAAAATAAAGATAAAAATGAAGAATCTATTGAGGATTCTCAAAAACTTAGTCCTACTATTCAATCACTGATAGATGAATTAGAAAATCAAATACAGAAAGAGAAAAAAAACTAAGAAGTGATGTAAAGAAGATGTCAAATTATAGCATTTTTTTTACATCTTAAATTATACACGCAGCTTTTTTTGAAAAATAGATTAGGAGATGATACTTTGAGTAGTGTCTGTTTAATAAGATCAAATATTTTGGAATGATTTTATCACAGTTTATATTAAAACATTAAATTACGTTTTATATTTTTATTAGAAATCAAATCAAATTTTACCAACCCACACGGAATTGGTAGAATTTTATTTGATTTCCTATAAACATTATAAGTTTTAATCCGCACGGAATTGAAAAATCTGCGGGATTGCATTCCCTAGTCCATCTCAATTGATGAATAGGTATAACTCTACTAAACCAGAATAGTAACCACAAATCATCTTTTTTAACTTCTTTCAAACTGCCATCAGGACCTTTCTAATTGTACTTTGGTTCATCGCTTCACAATACTCTTTTTCAATCATTAATACTCCAGCGTGAGCAAATTAAGTTCTAGGTTTTCAATTCTTTGAAGAAATGAATTTGCTGCTCTGATCTTCAGAAGTCCTAAATGTTGTGACAATCTGCAAACTGTATTTTTGGACACTGAAAATTTCAGCTGCCGAATGATTTCTTATTTAAGTAACAATAAGTTTTTGTGTATGAAACAACCTGTTTTGCATGGCCTTCCGTTATGATGTTCCGTTTCTAAAGGTCTGCATTTATTAAATCGTGTGATTATTTTAAATACAATTGAATCGTTGTAGTACTAAGTTAAAATTTCTTTTTGTGTGACTTCTTTCTTATAAACTTTGACAAAATGTTCTTGAAAAGCTGAATTATACTTGTTTCCTACTATTATAATGTATCAATTTACCAAATAACTCAATTCTAAGACAGAAATATTATAAAGTTTTTTTACTAACACAGCGCAAAACTGCAATCTCAAATCAATACTATTTTTTTTGATATAAATTATGATTTTTAATGATATGACTTCAAAAACGAATACTTTTTTTTTAGTAATTATAAAAAAGTTGCTAATCTTTTGGAATGTCAAGTTTTGACATTAAAATACCAATACATGCAATATAATACGTCATGTTCACGTAGTTCTATTATCATCTCAAATAAACAAAATTAATTTGTGTTTCTTTTTTTTTTTTTAATTATATTTTAGGTGCCCCAAGAAGTCCTTACGGTCTTATCAAAGAGTACCACCGATGAGCATTTCATTGGAAATTCACGCCTCTTTCTTAACCGATGTCACAAAATTTGCCCAATGGTTGGGTTTGAACAACGGATTCTTTTTTTCTTAGGCAAGTGCGCAACCAGTGCACCACGGCTGCTCATTCAGTGTTTAAAAAAGATTTACATAAAAGATGCCCTGGACATGTCATTTTTACAAATTTAAAAAAAGCCTTTGATACCGTGTCTCACTGAAGGCTACTACATAATCTTTATACTCGTATAAAGATTATGTAGTAGTAACAAACAGCAACAGGTTGAATTAGGAGCAAATACATCAAACTAGAAAGATGTTGTTATTGGTGCCTCACAGGGATCAGTCCTTGTGCCTCTTTTTTTGTCTTGTATATTAATAACCTGACAGATGGTTTGACACAAAACATAATTTATATGCTGATGATAGTAAAATCATTAGGGTAAACAGCTCACTATCTGATGTTGACTTTATACTTCAATAAAGCTATTGAATGGTCAAGATTTTATACTAGGTGATATTAATAAAGCTATTGAATGGTCAGGATTTTATACTAGGTGATATTAATAAAGCTATTGAATGGTCAGGATTTTATACTAGGTGATATTAATAAAGCTATTGAATGGTCAGGATTTTATACTAGGTGATATTAATAAAGCTATTGAATGGTCAGGATTTTATACTAGGTGATATTAATAAAGCTATTGAATGGTCAGGATTTTATACTAGGTGATATCTAAAATGCTATTGAACGCTCAAGATTTTATACTTGGTGATATCTAAAATGCTATTAAATGATCAAGAATTTTGCTGATTAAATTTATAACAACTAAATGTAAGGTTACGCATATAGGTCCAGCATCAACTAAATTGAATCACAAGTACTTTAGTCATCCATATCTTTTTTGAGCATCCGTTAAAAAAGAAGTTAAAAATAATAAAATCGCGAAGAAATTAAAAAAAAACTTGACGGGTGTACAAACACAGATTTCAAAAATGACACTACAAATATTATATTGGCTTTTTTACTTAAATTAGACAATCATAATATGAAGATAACTTTAGCTAAATTTATTATTTTTTTTTTTTTACAAGAGTATCTAAAGACTTCAAGTTTTTTTTTAAATCTAAAAACGTTGAGTGTATAATAATCTTAAGAATTTAAAAGTTTTTTTTTATTTATACTTTAAAGTTTGTTTTTTTTATTTATACTTTATATTCTTTATGTAGGTTATACAACCAATGGATAGCGGCAAATTTGAAAAAAAAACGAAAAACAACCAAACTGTTGCTTATATCTGATTTTTTATATCGATCTTATTGCTTATTCCATATGAACCAGGTATATGATTTTTTTAAAATTCTTTGCGTTTCATTTCTTTGAAAGTGCAATTAGTTGATTGACATTCGTATTTAACAACATAAAAAGTAGATTGTTTGATATGAAAATTTTGTGTTCCAAGTAATTTTTTCATAAACCTATTGTCATTTTTTAATTAAGTTTTATAAATTTATTTTTATTTACATGATTTGATGATTTATTTATTAACAAATTATGAAAAAAAAAAATATAAACAAATATATTTTTTAAATAAAAATGTTTTTTATGTGCCATATTTATTTTTTCAAATAATAATTATAAAATGTATTTTTTTTAAGTTGTTATTTTTACTGTTTATAAAACCTTTAATAATACGTGTTATATTACAAATGTTTAAGAATAGAAACATTTCTTGTAGAATAACATTTGAGTACTCGATAGAATAGGGGGGAGGGTAGAACAACAAGTTTAAAATTCCGGCTTTAAATTCAGACATTTTGGCATTTTTTCAAGATTTCCAACATTTTAGATGAATAGTAATTTAAAATGAAATAGCAAAGTTTTTCGTTAGAGCTAAACATATTGAATAATACATATTTTATACATTGGATTATACATATTTTTTTGAGAAAGGTAAAATAAGCAGTAGAGGGAAAACTATTGCTGGAATTATTGATGAAACCTGTGTAGCAGTGTCTGATTAGTAGCGTTAACGCGGGATGATTGACTATATTTTGCAACATTAAGTTATTAAAAATTAATTTTTGAAACACCCATTTAAATGTTTTCAATTTTTTATTGATATTTTGCCTATGATATTTTTATCTATGAAGCGGATAAAAAGAACTGTTTATGTAGCGTTGTCAACGGAAACGAAGGTTTGATTTAAGAGTAGAGTTTCGAATTAAGATAAACAAAAAATTTTGCTGTTTCACTTACTGCTCTTTTGTTATTTTACGCGCTGGCTATATCCAGGAAACTTTGCCCAATAACTGCAAATGACGTTATAAAATATTGCTCCTAAATTAAAATTTTGATGTCAGAACATGAGTTTAAAAATAAGCAAATAAATGTTTTTTATGAATAAAGCGATTATTTCATATTTTAACACTATTTGTTTAAAAGTTTTCTGAAGTCAGCCTATATATCGGATGTTATCAAAGAGAACTTAACAAAAATCGTAACAGATTAAAAACAGTCTAAAGGAATGACTAAATGTTTAAAGAAAAATATTTAAATGACGAAATATTTTCTCCAATGCTTGGAGTAAATCCCTTGGGGTTTCCTAAATAAAAAAATCACAGTTGGTTTGAAGATATATCAACTTTTATTTATTTGAAATAAAAAAAATTTATTCTAAAATAAAATTAGGAAAAATAAACATGTTTATGAACAATTTTTGTATTTAAAGACTGAAATACAAATATGGAAGCAATATTTAGTGTTTTATTATTTTCAATTTAAAAAATTAAACATTATAAAAACTATATATTGTATTGAAACTATAACAACTATTAGAACTTTAAAGTTTTAAAAATGAATAGTTTGAATTTTTTAAAAACTTTTTTGTTTTTATTACGTTTTTATTGTTTTACGTTGTATTTTTTATTTGCTATTTAAGCTTTTACGTTTCTAGTTTTCAGGTTAAAATGTCGTAACATATATAAGTTAAAAACTCTTCCAATTGAAAAACGATGGGTCCTACTATTCTTAAAATTGATTATATATTGATTATCATCAAAACGATTTTCACATTTTTTGTTTTACCATTAAGAGGTAAGTTTTAAATCCACGATAATTCTTTCCAATTCTAAAAATATGGAGAAAAATGCAAAAAAAAAAAAAAAAGAAAGAAAAAAATGTGTTTTACTACCTATGCAACTCCCCATTTAATAAATAAATAAAAAATTAGAAAATGATTGGTGTTAAAATTGACCTTAATTTAAAGTATAAAAATTTTTATATGTGTTTTTTAGTTGATGCTGTTATCATAGAAGATCATTCAGGTAACAGATTATTGATGCCCCCTTTTATATGAATTATTGATGTTTCCTTTTATATTAAGTACTGCTGTCTTTTTTTTTTTACAAAATACTGATGTCTTCTTGTATACAAAACAAATTGTCTCGTCTTTATGACTTTTATGCAGAAAATGATTTTATCTTTATTGCTTTTATTTTTTTTTTTGATTTCAAAGGTCAAAAAATTATATAAAAAACACTGAGTAACCTTGAATCATTATTTTTTACTTGTAAAATTTATCTTGTAATTTTTCTTTTTATGTGCACAAATCAACAGTTTTTCCAGTATTAAAACTTTAAGTCTTAAGTTATAAATGATCTCAAAAGTTAAAACAATTTTTAGCGATCAATATGAACTTGAGGGATTATTTAGCACTGTGAGAAAAAAAAATCAATCCAATTTAAATCTAGATAAAAATTTGTCTACCACTTGACAATAATGACAAAGCTTTTAAAATATGAATATGTAATACTAATACTGCATATGATATATCATATGCGACATCAATGTCGCGTGTTCATATACCAGTGACGGATCCAGAAATTTATATATATGATATATATTATATATATATATATATATATATATATATATATATATATATATATATATATATATATATATATATATATATATATATATATATATATATATATATATATATATATATATATATATTATGTAAATATTTATATATACGCATACATATACATATTTATAAATATAATAATAATATACATGTATTTTATATATACATATATATATATATATATATATATATATATATATATATATATATATATATATTATGTAAATATTTATATATACGCATACATATACATATTTATAAATATAATAATAATATACATGTATTTTATATATACATATATATATATATATATATATATATATATATATATATATATATATATATATATATATATATATATATATATATATATATATATATATATGTATATATATATATATATAAATATATATATATATATATATATATATATATATATATATACATATATATATATATATATATATATATATTATATATATATATATATATATATATATATATATATATATATATATATATATATATATATATATATATATATATATATATATATCGATACATAAATATGCATACGATATTTATATATAGTACATATCTATATATGGTACATACACTTGAGTTTTAATGAACAACAAATTACAAAAAAAAAAAAAAAAAACATAAAAGTTTTATGTTTTTTCTTTTTGTTTTATTTTTCAACAAAAACTTTATCATTACACATTTATTGTTATGGTTTATTTTTGATAAAATATACTAAAATAAACAACTAATCAAACCGATCAATTTGTAATCATGTTGTAAAAATTGAATCAAATTGAATATCTTTTAGTTCTTTTTATAAATAAAAAAGAAACTTTTTTTTATGAACAACTATCAAAATTTTATAATGAGAACACTCAAAATGGTCAAGTGGATTCCTTTTCCGAGTGCAGAAATTCCTGATGCAATTGTATCAACTCTACAAAAGATTTTCTCATGATTACAATATTTTAACTTCCAAGAATATCTATTAGAAAAGGGTGTTCTTGGGCTCGAGAACGCGAACAGCCGTGGCGCAGTGGTAGCGCACTTGCCTCAGAAACAAAGGATCTGTGGTTCTAATCCCACCTTCTAGGTAAGTTTAGCGGAAGGAGGCGTGAACTTCCAATTAAATGCTCGTCCGCGGTGCTCTGTAATAAGACCGTAAGGACTTCTTGGGGCACCTAAATAAAATTAAAAAAAAAAAAAAAAAAAAACAGAACGTCGTTGCCATGATTTAACGACCATAAATTATAAGAACTAAAAGTTATACATTTAAAGGACCTTGTTTACTAGATTTTAAATAATTAAAGTGGAGAATTTTTCCAAATTAAGTATTCGGTCTTTCTAATTTGGCTTATTTTATTAACTAATACATATCGTAGTGTGCGTAGGTATTTTTGGCATACATTTTTTTAATCTATAGTTTACATTATAATGTATTATTCAATAATACATTATAATGTAAAATATAGATTATCTATATTTTATCTATAATAAAATTATTTTATAATGTATTATAAAATAATTTTATTTTTTCGCTTGTTGTGCACCAATCAGTGGAGACTTTTTAAACATAAAAATATTTATTAGAATAATATTTAACAAAAATATTGCTGCCCCATGCCAAACCCTTAGTTGATGTAGCAGCACACTCCTTTGCAGCAGCAAACTATAAGATAGTCAATGTATGTACTGAAGCCTATAAATTTTTCTTATGTTAAAAAAGTCTTCATTGACAAGAGTCCAACGAGCGAAATTTTTTTTTTTTTTTTTGTGACAGAGTTAAGTTTAAAACCATAAAAGAATTATAATCAAATAATAACTCAATGAAATTTAAACACAATGAAATACTCAATCAATATTATTCAAATAAATACAAATGCTCTGGATTCCCATATATATTCTTAGTGGATTTCCATTTATGCTGGCAAAAAAAACCTGAATTATATTACTGAATTTTCTTTTTTTCCACATAATTTAGCATAAATACTTGTTAATTAACTTTTGGTTTGAAAGGCTCAGTGCAATACACAAAATCATAAAACTATTATTAAGTTACAAAGTAAAATTTTTTAACAAAATTTCAATTTTGTTTATTTTTATTTTCAGCTTGCAGTCAAATATTTCAAGGAAGATATGGTGAGATTAAATCTCCGGACTATCCATTAGAATACCCAGATAATTTAGGATGTGTCTGGACAATTAAGACAAGTGAAAATTTTCGGATTGAACTTAATTTTCTGGATTTTGAACTTGAAAAGTCAGCTGAGTGTTTTGATAAACTAACAATAAAAGATGGTGCACAAGATGATGCACCAACACTTGGTTATTTTATTTGCTTTTATTTTTAGTTTTTACTTGGCATTTTTATAAGTTTAGATTTCCAAACACACAGTGTAACATATTTTTTGCATTTTTTAGAAATAGTTTTTGACCTTCTCAATCTACTGCTGACTTATTAACTGTAATTATTATTTGATCATATTTTTTATCCTGCATTAGATAGTGTTGGCAACGTAATGGCTATTGCTTTTGACATATTTAAGGCTTTTAATAAAGTCTGGCATGCTGATCTTCTCTATAAGCTGGCTTTATATAGTTTATCTGAGAATGTTTCTAACTGCAGTTATAATTTTTTCCTCTAAGGCTAACACTCTTCTACATTTTCAGTAACTTACCACAAGATTCTAAGATGACTTTATTTGCTGATGAGACTATTTGCTATGAACTATATACTACTGTCTTGATTGGTTAGAGCAGGCAGCCAATTTCAAATCTAATCTCTTTTTTTCATAACAGCTTGGGGCTTGCAGTTGCTTGTGAACTTTGACTCCAATAAAACTCAGTTATTTACAGCAAAAAATTATCACATTATTGTCAATGTCTTCTCTACTTATCATTGACTACTTAGCTCTTATAGAAACTTATTTAAATACATCTTATATAAACAATTCATTGCAAAGTTAGCATCTGCAAAGGTTTTTTATTTTGGATATCTGGAAGTTGTTTATTAAAGGCTAATACTCTTTTTTATTTTTAGTAATTAAAATAAAATCAAAATCAAAAAATATAAATATGAAAATATGAAATTATGAAACAAAACTGAAGAGTTTATTGGCAGCCGATCTTGAATCTGAACTCACTTTTGTAACAGATTGGGGCTTAAAGTGGCTTGTGAGTTTTAAATCAAACAAAACTCAGTTGAACAAAACAAGCTGAGTCATCATCTTTAAGTCTTATTTACTACTGACCTCTCATGTAAACCATACAGTTGTTTGCAAAGTTAACATCTGCAAAGGTTGCTTCTCTTTATTGCCATTATCTTACTCCTGATTACAATCTCTACTTCTACAAATATTTGTCCCTGTATTAAATATTGTTGTCATATTTGGGCTGGTTCTTCTAATGATACTCTTTCACTTTAATGTCCAAAAGTGCATTGTAAATGTAGTTGCAATTTTATTCCAACTACATTTATAATGCTCTATTTTCCAAGCTTAAGCCACTCTCTGATTATCATAACATTGCATCTCTTTCTTTTTTCTTAATTACAATCCACTTTTTAGCTGTTTAGTTTTCAGCTTTCATTTTATAACCATTTATAATACTGTTTCTCATTTTCTACTTGTTTGTTAAATTTTCTGATTTTTTAAATATGTTTATCTCCCTAATGCTGAGTGGGTCACAACATTCAAAATGACCCCCTTTTTTTAGTCTACAGTTTCTTTAAGTTTAATTATTTGTTGTTAATAGTGAATTTGTATTTCCAAAAAAAGCTGTTGCTTTATACATAAAACCTAAAAAATATATGTTGCACTGTGTACTAAATAATAATTAATTTGCAGTAGTAGTGAGTAATGATTTGGTGTTGTAGAAAAAAGTTGAAATAAGTTAACATTGCAAGGTGTTTCAAACTTTTTCAAATTATGTGTATGGTACTGTAGTGTTTTTTGAGAATAGTTTGTATTTTATTTATTAGAAATTTTCTGCGGAGATGATGGAAAAGGAAAAACAGTTACATCATCAGGAAATGCATTGTACTTACAGTTTCTATCTGATGAGAGTTTAGGTGAACGAGGGATCTACATTTTGTGGAAAGAAATTGAGAAGTTATCTCTTGAAAGTTATCCTGGTAGAATAATATTTTTTTAAATTAATATTATTTTTCTTATTATTTATTTTCTAAACTTTTTTTTTAATTTCCTTTTTTAGAAGGTTTTTTCAATGAACCTTGGGTTACCCTTGATGTTCCTGCCAACTTAATAGATTTTGATTCTGGTGTTTTCATGGGATCACTATGGACCATTAATAACAACTATGATGTCTTTTATTATGATTCCAACAAATGGAGTATTATACCTGGTAAACTCAAAAGTATATCTGTTAACCAAGCTGGTATATTTGGAATTGATTCTAAAAATAGCTCAATTTACTGGAGGCATGGTATCAGTGTTAATAACCAAAAAGGTGACCTATGGAAGCTTGTTTCAAAAAATAAAAAACGGATACAACGCATTGAGTCAACAAATTATGATTACATTTATGGTATTGACGATGAAACTAAAATGTATTATGCACATGTTCGAGACATTGACATATTAGATGAAAAATGGCAGCCATTTGTAATTAACGTAGAGAATAATGTTGTTCCTATAGATAGCAACTTTAGAGCCATATCATGTGGCAGTTACTCATGCTGGATTGTTATGTTAGATGGATCTGTTTATAGCTCCAAAACATTTCTGGGAACAAATTTTAACCCTAATTCAGTTATTTGGACAGTAAGTTCAGGTAGTGTTTTTGTACCTTTTTATATATATATATATATATATATATATATATATATATATATATATATATATATATATATATACTATGTTTACCTCACCAAGGCTAAGGAGACCACTATAATCAAGAAAAAAATTAATTACTGTCTCTAGTACCCTCTGTCATACCCTTCTCTTAACCTTATAAATTTGAATTACAAAAATGAATAAGAGCTAAGAAACAATTTAAAACAAATTTAACAAAAACAATAAACAAGTATTAATTTATAAATCAGAAAAAATATTTACTTTTTTCTTCAAGGTTTTTTAGGTCATGAAAAAGAACCAATTATTTGGTTCTTATTGTAATTTGCAATTCAAATCACATAAGTGATACAAACGTGCATGCACACACACACTTAACTAAACCTACTTCAACCACTTTAAACATGTAGTTCGTCAACTGTAATATAAAAGTCAATCAAAATACTTTTATGTTAACAAAATTATGTTAATATGTTATGTTCTAATACAAATATACACTATTTCATCAATAAAATTCTGATGAGTCTTTATTGATGAAACGCAGTGAAATAAAAAAAAATTAGATAAGTGATTTTTTACTAATTTATATAGAAAATTCTAACTGTTTTTTAACAAGATTTTAAAATGTTAGTTCTGATTTTAGGACAGTTTAAAGACATTAGTGCTGGTTTTGGAAACAACATTTGGGCTCTTATGAGTAATGGTGATGTTTATAAGAAAAATGCAGCCACTAGTCATTCACCAATGGGTGGTGATTGGCAAAAACAAAATTTACAGTTAGATTTTATTCATGCTGGAATTGGAGGTGTCTACGGTTTTAAAAAAGATAAAGGATTTGGAGAGTATAAAGGTCAATTTATATTTTTTATTACTATTATATTATAATATAGTAATATAATAATAATAATAATAATAATAATAATAATAATAATAATAATAATAATAATAATAATAATAATAATAATAATATAATAATAATAATTTTAATAATAATAATAATAGCAATAATAGTAATAATAATAATATATATATATATATATATATATATATATATATATATATATATATATATATATATATATATATATATATATATATATATATATATATATATATATATATATATATATATATATATATATATATATATATATATATATTGTTTTTAGTACCATTTTACTTGTGAATAATTATGATCATGTTATTAATAAATCTGAGAAGAAGAAAATCTGTTGAAAATGATTTGATTTTATTTTTCTGTTTTTATAAAAATAGAACAGAGATTACTTGAATGTTTATTTTTATATTTAGAAT